TGACACAAGCACTCGGCCTGCAGGACCAGCCTGTGAACATATGCTTTGCTCTGCAGCAAAGGCAGAGCAGGGGAAGCCAAAGGAAGTGTAGGACAGAGCATTGTGACTGCTGCCTCAAAGATGCTGGCAACATCCAGGAAAGAGTTCAGCCAGAGCCTTGCCAGAAAAGCGCTTTATTTCTCAGGGAACAAACTCAACAGCAGAGACATGAGGAAGACTTTCAGAGGAGCCAGCACTGACGACTCAGCATGGGGCAAGGGGGCCTGGCTTAGGCCGCGAGTACAGAGACTGGGGAACAGGAGGCATCTGTCATACTCTGAAGGTAGAGAGAAGGGGATGACATCGATAGCACTGGCTCCTGCCACCCTGGCTGTGGTGATTCTTCAGATCTCATCAGGCAGTGAAGCCCTGACAGGAAGGGAAGCACCATGTACCCCACAGACCTGGCAGGCACCAAAGAGCTCAGTCATCTTTCAGGAAGCTCAGCCTTAGGGGGCCAGAGGCTCTTTCAGGACAGAGGAGCTCCAAATGATGCAGCCCATCCTGGTATACCCATCTCCTGCTCACTCTGTCCAGCATAGGGTGAGGGAGGCTTCACCCACCCATCTTCCCCCACTTGACGAGCAGCATGCACCTTCAGTGCTGGCCTCATTCCAGTTTGTTGGCCAGGAAGTGTCTGATATTTCTCAGCAGTCTTCTTGAGGTTTCCTGCCATGCTTTCTCCCCTGCCCTGTCCTCTCCTCTAAGCTCTGCTCTGCTGTGTTGGAGCAGCAGTGCCCTTCAGCTCCCCCTTCCCATTCTCCATCCACCTCTGGGCTCCCTCCTTGGCTTTCTGCCACAGGCCCCTCACCAGAGCCCCCTTTTCCAGGGCTTGGCTCTGCAGCCTTCCCCTCTGTCCTACACTTCCTTTGGCCTTCCCCTGCTCTGCCTTTGCTGCAGCTCCCTTGCTTTGTTTCTTCTGTCTGCTCTTCCTTCTCAGCTATGTTTTCTTCTCCATCACCTGTATCTCCCACACTTCCACTGTCCCCAAAATTCCCTTGGTCTGATCCTTCCTCAAGGCCTGTCTCTGCCCCAGAACTGCCTTGCCCTGGTTCTTCCCCTCTTGTGCTCTCTTCTTTGAGCTCCTCTTCTCTTGTCCTACTCTCTTCACCACAGTTCCTCTGGTCTGGTTCTTCCATCCATGTTTCTGCAGTCCCTTCTCCATGTCCTGTCTCCCCTGCCCCACTGCTGCCTAGGTCTGGGTCTTTCTTTGGAGTGCTTTTTTCCCCAAGTTCTGCCTCTTCAGTTCCCCTCTCAGCTTTGAAGCTTCCGTGGCCTTGGACTTTCTTCTTTCCTTCTAAGTTCCCCTCCCCAAGTCCCACCTTTCCTGCCCCTGACTTGCCCTGCTCCAATTCTTGAATCTTGGTGTTCTCTTCCCCAGGCACTGAGTCTCCCAGCCCTGTATTCCTCTTTTCTGTTTCTTCCTTCTGCCAGCTCTCCCCATGTCCTTCCTCTTCCATCCTTGCCTCTGGCACAGAATTCTCCTGCTCCTGTTTTTCCCTATCTTTGGTTTCATCTGGGACCTTAGAGTTCCCTTGGTCTGGTTCTTTCCTTTGTCTGGTCTGGCCAGGGACTTCTGCAGTCCCAGAATTCCCCTGGTGTGGTTCTTCCCTCTGTCTGTTCTCTCCATGTTCCTCCTCTTCCTCCATTATCTCTGCCCTAGAACTCACCTGACCGGGTCCTTCCCTCTGCTTATTCTCTTTAAGTCTTGCTGCTTCTATCCTCAGCTCTTCCCTGAAATTCTCTTGGTCAGCTTCTTTCCTCTCTGCTCTGAAGCACTCTGTTCCCAATCCTGTCTCTGACTTTTCCCAACCTCCGCCTCCCTCCTCATTACCAGCTGTAGCATAGCCACCTCCTGCCTGCTGCTCCTCCCCTGTTGCTGCTCCCTCAGGCTGAGGCTGCTGAAAGAGCCCCTGGTATCTCTTGCGATCTTCAACATGTTTTTTCCTCATCCTTTCCCCCAAGATCTTCATCTCTTTTTTTGCAGCTGCTGCCATTGATGGATCCAGCTGAGCCGCCTGCAAGAAGTCATTTCGTGCCTCCTTTTCATTCCAGACAGCAGCGTGGGCCTTTGCACGCTTGAAATAGGCCTTTGCGTTTTCTATAAGAGTGGAGAAAAACTGAGGTGAGCTCTCAACCTGTTCACCTGTCCCAGGCTCTGCCCCATATCCAGCAGCTCTGCCCACAGAAGATGGCCATACAGGTCTCCCACTGGAGCCCAACAGCCCTTCTGAGCCTTCCAAGTGGATAAGCAAGAGCAGACTTAGTCTCTGCTTACTCCTCTAGCAAGAGCAGCAGGGTATGGGAGCCCACACTTGCTCCACAGTTTTACTCTCATCTTGTCCCCTGACACCCAAAAGGAGTCCAGTCTGCAAAAGCAGATCAACCGGAGCTGCTCCATCTGGTCCAGTATTTTAGCTTTGGCCAGTAGTAGCCACTTCACAGGAAAGTGCATGAAACTGCAGCATGGACAATTATAGCATGGCCTGCTGAGTGGGGAAGCTTCTTAGGAGCCCCTATCAATCAGGGGGGGTTATTCATGCACTGGACCATGAAGGCTTTATATCCAAGCATGAGATATTCTCACAGCCCATATCAAATTTCTAAAATCCTCCTAAGCTTTGAGCTTCTGTCTGGTGATGAGTTCCACAGTCTAAATCATGCCTGGTGTAAAGTGTTTCCCTTTTGCTGCAACCTAGAGTTCTCAGAGGGGAAAACTGGTGGATGAGAGACCTACCCCATCTGTCAGCCAGAGTGCAAGCTCCTTCCCAGCCTGGGAACAGCTCTGATGCTCTGCAGTAGAAGGTTAGCTTATATTGCTGGCTCTGCCACTGCCCTCATCAAGAGGAGTTTCAGCTGCAACTAAATTCTATGGCCAAACCTCACATAGGCAGTGCAATTTGTGGGCAGGAGAAGCTCAACACAGGATGCTAAGTTTCCTAAGTGAAAGAGGCAGAGTAGGAGGTAGCATCTGAGGCAGCAGTTAAAGAAAATTAGGTCCTGGGGATTAGAAGCAGGACCGAGGCCACTTCTTGCCAGGACTGAAGGGATTAGAGTCTGGGAGGCAGGTGGAAAGGCCTGCTCTAGTGTCCTTACCATGGCTTTTCTGAAGGATCTCGGTAGTGTGCTCCAAGACCTCATAGTACTCGCCCAGCTCCAGCTGGCACTGGCAATAATTCAGCATGAGGGGTGTCATGAGATTCTGCAGCTTCAGCCAGTCCTCCTCCCAGGGCTTCTCCTGCTCACAAAGCCAGCAACATGGAGGTCAAGGTATGACACCTACTCTCCAAGGCAGGTGTCATACATAGCTGGGGAGCATCCTAGCAATGTTCCAAGGCAGGTGAACAGACAAGTTTGGTAAGTGGAGTCCACTGGCTCCTATGGGGCGAGACGCCCTGAGTACACCCTCTGCTAGCCACACCCTACCACTTGCATGCTCTTCAGGCACCTCTCTGGTTCAATGGCCAGTCTGGAGTGCTCACAGTGAGCCCTGATCACCCACCTCACCCTTTCAATTTGCTTATTTTAATTTATTTAAGGGATTTTGTACCAGGGAAGACCTAAAACAGGCCTAGAAGTACCAGACTCAGGGAGCAACCACAGTGTGTAAAGCAATGGCTGACTAAGATCTTTCTGGCTTAGAAGAACTGCTTAGCTCCCCTGTCCTGCGGAGGACATCCTGCAGGTACAGGCAAGCTGGTAGGTACCACAGCTCTGCACCACAGGCATGACCCGTGCAGGTGGCGGTAGCACAGTTGAGGAACTGAGGAGGGAAGTGTTACAGGCTTGTCTGGGCTACACCCCCTGTAGGTGTTGGTCACCCTGTGGGTGCTCACCTTGGCTTGGAGGTTCCGGAGGCAGATAACAGCTTCCTGGTACTTCTCAGCTGCCTCGCGGTACTTCTTGTGCAGGACGAGCCGGTTGCCCTCGCTATGCAACACAGGCACTGCTGCCAGCTTCTCCTCTTTGCTCATGGCCCATGTGTCTCGCTTGTAGGCAGAGGGATCGTCTACCTGGGGAGGGGGAGAGATAACCCTGCATGCACTCACCCTGAGTGCTCAAGTCTCCTTATGAGCACTGTTGCCTGCCCTTCCCTGCCCCTCTCCCCCTCAGCCCCAGAGAAGCTACCTGCATGGGCCATTTTGAGCACTACGGCATGGATGAGGAGCTGTGCTTCACCCCATCACTGCCCTCAGCACCTTTTACCCTCCTTCCCCCTCACCCCCCAGCCACCTCTCCCCTCCCAGCCTCACTTTGAAAAGCTCCATGATGAAGATGAGGGGCTGCGGTGTCCTCTGTAGTTCATCCAGGTCCTCATAGCCTGTGCTGTGGTAGTCAAACATGTTCCCCATCCCACAGCGGTGCCTTTGTCCCTCTAAGGGGTCCTTGCCCTCTGCAATTCTCCTCATGCCCTTGGAGACCAAGGCATACATGCCTGTGTGCTGAAGAAGAAGCCTCTGTTCAGGTACATATACAAAACTTGCTCTCCTTGCTGCAGCCGCAGGGAGGTCATGACCAGGGTATGCCTGGTGCTCTTAGTTGGGGAGCTTAAGGGGAAGCCCTGCTCAGCTGGCCAAGTGGGAGAGGCACAATCTGTGGCTGGGGTCTGGAGTCTAGCACAGGCATGGGGGTGCTATGAAAGTGGCTGTGGAGATTCCTTCCTCTCCAAGCTAATTCCTAGTCTGCTGAACTGTAGCCTCCACTGTGCCCTATGTTATGATCCCTGAGGGGGCCAGGTGCATTAGCAGAGCAAGTATGATGTATCTATACATATCCAGGGGTGACCTGAAGCCTCACTTTGGAAGTTTCTCCCAGATGATCCAGCTGTCAGTGGGTACTTGGTCATTTGGACTCTCAGGGGTCGAGGGCAAGCAGACATGGTACTGACCACATCACTTCCTTGTGTGCCTTTGGCAGTAGGAACTGGTGCACTTGGACCATACCAGCCTGGTGGACTGCTAGGCTTGAGCAGTCTTAACCTGGGCTCCTCACCTAAAGTCCCCAGGTTAACTATCACTGCTTGGTGAAAAGCTGGTTGTTGGGAACAAGCAGGCCCTCAACCCAAGGGAGGTGGATGTGCACCTGCCTACATACAGGCTGCACAGAGCTGTGTGGATCATGGGGCTTGTGTGCGTGTGTCTGTGTCAGGGAGCACAGTGCTATGCACACGTATGAATTTTGGCATGGGCAGTGGGTCTCAGGAATTGAAGCCTGGGTGCATCACTCACAACAGCATCACACCAGAACTCTGCCACCTCTCTGATGCGCATGGAGGTCAGCAGGGTCTCCCACACCTCCATCTTAAACATCTTCCCCACGATGATCTCCATGGGGATACCAGAGTCTCGGCTGTCGTCAATCACCGTGCGCTCAAAGTCATCTTTCAGCGTCTGGAAGTGGAACGTGATCTGCCTCAGGGAGAGATCAGGGCAGAGTGGGTCAGGCCCAGGGCACTGAGGTAGTTCCTTCCTCCCCTCTCCCACCCTGAACCCACCCAGCTCTCAAGGAGACAGGCTCACAAGCATCCAGATCAGCATAAATTCTCTCACCATGCCCCTCTATATACGCTCCCCATGCTAACTTGTTTGTTCCGTGCCCAGCTGCCATCTGTGGCTGCCCCCTTTAGCCCAACACAAATTAGACTAGTAGCGTGAGCTCCCACAGCAGTACCCTGTCAGCGTCTGTCTGGTGCAAGCTTCCCAGCAGGGATGCTGAAAGCTAATAGGCAAGTAACTCCTCCAGTCCCACTGCTGGAAAGCAGTAAAGTGGCACTATTATACCCATTGTCAGCCCCCTGTGTACAGTACTTGGGTGGGTGATGTCACTGCCAAACACATTTATGCCCTCTGTTTGCAGTGGTGAATTCATGGAGCTCCAGACCAAGATGAATTATAGCAACAAAACTGTCAGCTGAATCCCAACTGCTTGGCCTCTTGCAGCTGTTGATGATGGAGGCAGATAGAATACAGCTGGAATACCAGAGCTCAGGTGGAGAAAGTAGTGTGAGAGACCTGCTGCCTGGTAAACACCTCTAATTCCATCTTGAATGGCTGGAAGAATTCACCTGTGTTGGGTTTGTTTCTGATTTAATGAGGTGCACTTTTAAAGGAGGCCCTGGAGCAGGTAGATTGTAGTAGTAAGCACCTTAGGTCACCACTCAAAGCAGGAGCAGTAGGGAGGGGCTGCTAGGGATTCCCACTGCCCACTGCTGTAGGGGTAGGGACATCCCTGCCCGGCTCTGGCACCGCTTAGCTAGCAGAGACGCCCCTCGAGCGTGGTTACCTTGCTCCCATCTTGGAATGTTGGCAGCTGCCCACAGCCTCCATGCAAAATCTTCTTCTTGACACCAGGCACGTTAAGCAGGTACATTGCATCCATGATCAGGCAGGCAGGTCTTCCCCTGAAGAAGTGAACTGGACACACAGTTCTGTGCTATCTCTCTACAGCTCTCCTCACAGTGCCTTCATCTCCTGCCTACAGGAGCTGTTTTGCTCCCTACCCCCCGCCCGTTCTCATCTCAGCAGCCTTCAATACCTCCTAGCTGGCTCAAGGCTGCAGCATTGCCCTGAGTCCCAAGTTCTTCTGCTCTTCAGGACCATAAGTCTTTATATGCAGTAAGCCTCCCCCCTGAATGGTGGGGGCTGTTACCTGTTATCCTTCCTTTCCCATCTATCTTTGCCTCACTGCTGCCTTTTCTACAGTACAGAAAAGCCCATGCCACACCCTCCTCTTGTCCCCAAATACCATCTGATGCATTCTGACAGCTGCAGATGGGAGCTGCCTTTCTAATCCTCTTCCCACCCTGCTAGGTTAATCTCAGATTTGCCTCCCTGATCTGCCAGGATTAGAGACGGTTCCATTCTTTCTGCAGTTCTTGCCCCCTCCTTTCCCCATTAATTGTCTAGCAGCTTCCATGTGCTCTTCCATGCAGAGCTTTCCCTCTCTAGCCAGTCTCCTTCTCCATCCCCAACCAAGCAAGAGCAATCTCAGCATTATGAGTCTGGCCATGCTGCAGTGGCATCAGAGCACTGTCAGAGAACAATATGTACAGGCCAGCTCCAGATGACACTGGGAGCTTGCCAGCCATAGCACAGCTCTGGAGACAAGAGAATTAAGGGGCACACCAAGTTGGAAACATGCTTTATTGGTTGTTTTTCTTAAAGTCAGCACTCCCCCAGCACAGGAACGAGATGCCAGCAGAACAGCTCCACTTCTAAAGCCCACTAAAGACTAAACCCATCTGCAAACTTCTCAGGTAACACTGGTTTTCAGGGCAAGGGTAGGGTAGCCACTCTGTAGCGAGCTGTCTGGGCTGTCCTTACAGGCATACACAATGCTGGGAAGTCCATGCCCATTGCTTGGCTGGCACAGCCACCCTCTCAGCAGCTTCCCAAAGGATTCTGGAAACAATAGATGACAAGACCCAGAGCAATATCAGGGAGCAGAGACCCTCTGACAAAATGCTTCAGAGTTTTCAACAGCTTCCAATTAGAAAAAAAAATGGATGAGACAATACTTTCTTGAAAGCCCTTGTCAGTACAGCTAAACTACCAGGAATATCTGTTGTAAAGGAACAAACCCCAGGTCAATTCCTTTACTCAGCATTAGGGGGCTGGCTGCATTATCCAGAATGAGACAGGAGCTCTAGAAACACTGTTCCAGGAGAATGAGCAAGAGTCGCTTATCAACAAAGTCTGGCAAGGTCAAGCCAGTAACTTGAGGGCTTTGGCACCAAGGGTGACTCCTAAACTCATGGGTGAAGCTTCTGGCTCAGCACACTGCTTGCCCAGAGGTACAGGGAGCTCCTGCCCTCATTTCTCCATCAAGGATTCAAGCTGTTCCTGCAGAGTGGCCAGCTGTGGAGAGAGGGTTGGGAGAGAAAGGCACAAGCTATTACAGGGATATTACACTGCTGGAAGTCCTTGCATGTTCCCTCCTCAGACTAAAAGGCTAACAACATTCTCATAGCTGTACAGCACTTCCCAGACAACTGCATCACCAAACTACTGGTCTTTCAAGGCACCTACAGATAACTGAGGTCTCTCAGTCATTCCTGATCAAATATAACCTGGCTTCACTCATTGCTTCTGGTGAGATCAGAGCCTGAAGTGGCACAGTGCAGGACTTGGAGTGCTTTCAGTGAAATTCTTAGAAAAGCAGGTAACTTGTCACTTTCTGCTGAGCAAGTATGGCTCAGTGTTATCCCATAGCATGGCACATGTCACTTTCTTCTACAAGGATGCAAAAGGGTCAATAAGAGAGGTCTTCTTACCTGCTGCTTTTCTCGTTCTTCCTGCTGTTTGAACTCATCCAACACAGCCTGGAGACGGGTCTGGAAAGTGACAAACCAGAATATGATTGCTAAAGCTCTCGCCAAGGACCACTTTGCGCAGTGTTGTTTTGTTCCCATTGGCTATCTGACAGGCTGTATGGGGAGCAGAGTGCAGCCTGGGTCCCAAGACCCTTTATCTTCTGCACAGGTCTATGGCTTATTCTGCATTAGTCACAGCTGAGTCACATGGCTGGCTGGTTGGCACACTTCCTTATAGGCACACGAATCTTAATTCCACAAAAGAGAAGGCCTTTGGATTCTCCAGGACAATGGTTGATGCCTGTTAAGAGTCGGAGCCTGCACAGCGTCAACTTAGCTGACTGGGACTCCTGAGGAACACAAGTTTCACATAGGAAAGAGGGTCCCCAGGGACCAGACAGCACTTACCTTGAGAGCAAGGTTCTCTACTTTCATAATGAGATCTTCCTGGCGCTTTCTCCGCTCCTGAGTCTCCTGGAGTTTACTTTTCAGGTTATCAATCTGCTTCTGGATCCCCATGGCTAGAACATAAAGAGCTCAGGACTTATACCATAAGCCCCATAAGCACAGTTGAACTGTAACACAAGCAGAATCACATAGCAGTCCTCCACACCCTGACACAGTGCTGATTCACTAAGGGAAAAGCCCAGGTTCAGCACACCGGAAACAGCCCATCCTGGCTGCAGACTGCCCTGTGACTCACCAATCTGGTTTGTTCCCTCACTCTCCTGTTGCTGTCCGTTGGATTCGTTTAGCTTGTCCTGCAACTGCCTCTCCAAGTCTTCCTCTGTGTCCATAATGTTCAAATCTTCGTCATCGTGATGATCTCTCTCATCTTCATCTTCACTGCTGCTGCTGATGTCATTAAAGATCTCCCGCAGTTCGTCATGTTCTTGTGGTTTGACACAAAAGGAAAATAAGGAAAACAGTTGAAGAAGGTGCACTGGATTCAACAGTGATCTACAAGTCTCTCCTAAGATGCCACATATGCCCTTGGCTTTCAGGAACAGTGCTCTGTACTGAATGCTTATCTAAATACTCTTCTATCTTCCTTAAGTTTGCTTTGATTCATTAAGAAATTCTAACCCAGGTCCAATGGACTAGAAGTAGGTGAATGCAAGACCAAGGAAGATCTATTTTTCCCCTTTTATAAAACAGATACTGTTATAGCAAATGAGTATCTGCTCCAGAAACTTAGGGGACTGTGCCAGTTCTCTCACCCCAATGAATGCAGCCTTGGTGTTCAGCTCTGCTCATACAATCAAGTCAGCTCTCCAGTTTGAGGCCACCCTTGTGTGCAAGAGCAGATGGTGACCCTGCCACCCGACAGGTAAATGCTTTTGCTAAATTAAGCACTGATCTCTTCCAATGTACCTGATGAGCCGTGGCCTTGCTTGTGTCCAGACATCCCTGGAGAGGAGATGTCCAGACTGGTGAGTGAACCATGGTTGTCTGCTTCCTTTGTCTCATCTTCAGCAATGACCTCCCAGCCTGAGGGCAGATGCACAAGTCAAGGGATAACAACAAAAGGTAATGCCTGTGGGGAGACCCCTGCAGCCACATCCAGGGCTTTTCCAGTTAAAAAAACAACACAAGGGGTAGGTAACTCCGGCCTATATTTCAACAAGCCCCTCTAATTCTGGGCATAGTTGTTACAGATACCTAGGTTTGGTCAATCTGGCCATTCAAGTATCTTGTATTTCCTCTTCTCAGCAGATATTACAGCAAGTTATTGCACTGTCGGGAGCATCAGCTGCAAATGCATGGACATTACCCGCAAAGTGCAGTGACAAATGCCAAGAGGAGGTTGCTGAGAAGCAGCAGGTTTTGAACAGACTAAAGGTAAAACTCTAAACTTCAGTGTCTGTCATCTACTCAGCTTCTGTTTGCTCTTACTACCCATGTGTGCAGCAGGCTGAACTTCTGTCTGGCAGCTCCTTCTAGCCTCCTTCAAAAGCTGACGTTCAGCAGGGTTTCTCCTGAGAAAGGATACGGACACTGACAGCCTCAGCGTCTGTGCTCAGCAACCGCTTCACCTCCTTTTCCACATCTGGAGACTCAATGTACTGGGCAAGGGAGAGAGAATGGAGCAGAGATATTGTCAGACATCTCTGGCTCAGGGGTTTCTTGCTCTCTGGCTGTCTCCCAGTACTTTACCTCATCTTATTCTTTGCTTGTCAATTAGCATATTCCTGCCCCTCACAAGCTCTCCCATGATACTACCACCTGCCTCTCAGGTCAGCATCCCATCTTCCTCTCCTCTTCCTCAAAGCTTCTGGGTTGAGCTGAGTACCCTCACTGGCCTGACTTCAGTTCCCCTCAGAACACTCCCAAGCACCTCTTAAGAAACCAATCTATGTGGCATGTCAGGTGCTTGAGTCTGAATGCATTTATGAAAGGCCCCTCCATGGGGCTGGGGCCTGGAACAGAGCTGCGATTTGCTCCCCACGCACCCCTGCCCATGGAACTGGCAAATGGGGTACAGCCACTTAGGGATTTTTGGCATGCTGTGGCCAGGGTGTCCATGAGAGGCCCCTCCATTTTGTTCTCAGTTCTAAAGTGAACTAAACAATCATACAAGGTTTCACTTTTTATTATTAAATTAGCCAGAGGGTTTTTCTATCTGTTGACCCCTCTGTGAAATCCTATGAAATATGAACTTTAATTTCTACCCAGGAGAACTTTTACAATCTTTTCTCAGATTCCTGACAAAAGGTGTTTGTGCCTGAAAGCTTGCAATTAAAGAATTTTTTTGCAAAAATCTTGTTGGTCTAATAAAAGATACCACCTCTGTCCACGAGCCCTAGTGCATCACTAGGCTTTTTCCTACAGGAAAGCGAGAACGTTCTGTGAGACCAGGGGTTCTGAGAGACTGGTTTTCCCTAACATCAAAATGTAACATTGCTCCATCATGTGTCCGAGAGAAGAAATGCAAAGCAGAAAAACGAATCCATCCAGCCTAGTGATACAATCATCAGCCACTTTGCAGAGCTCTTTTTTTGCTCCACAGACCTTTATTAATAAGAGCATTTGCATAAAGTTACAACCTTGACGGTTCAATTTCTCCCAGGTCCCTATCAGAAGTCAGTCTCCTGTATGCTGCACCACAGCATGTAGCTGTGGAAATAATGCATACACAAGGAACTAGGATTTCAGGTGGAAGAGGGCAAAAGCAAGTGAACTCTTCATCTCCATGTGACTATTTCCATGTAAAACAAAAGGAGGAGACATTGTGCAGGAAACGCAGGACAGAGAGCCAGAGTCCATTCCCCTCTGCACGATGGGATTTCCCCCTACTCCAGGAACTCCTTTCAGACTTCTTGCCAAGGAAGCCTTAGAACATCTCAGCTCTCTTCCCCCCGATTTCTGCCCAGTGAGGTGTGGAAGAGAATTGGTTAGCCCAGAGGTGGGCAATTATTTGGGCTGGAAAGCTACTTAGGAAGTTTTGGTGAGCTGTTGTGGGCCAGGTCAGCACTCCTTCCCCCCAAACCCTGGCCACAGCACGCCAAAACTCCCCAAGTGGCTCTACCCCATTTGCCAGTTCCACGGGCAAGGGTGCATGGGAGCAAATCGCAGCTCTTTTCCAGGCCCCAGCCCCATGCTGTTACAGCTCCCTGATTCCAGCCCTGGCCCAGGCCACCCATACTGCTCCCAGAAGCCACTCCCCACTCACCTGCAGCCTTAGTCCATCTGCTTAGCTGAACATGCCCTGCCCATGTGGGTCCCAGGCTGGTCTCTTTGGAGACCCTGCCCACCCGCTCCCTCCAACGCCCCGGAAGTGGGTGTGGGGTGGAAGGAACAGGGTTCAGCAACAATGGCAAAGACTGCAGGGAAGTGAATTTAGCTGCTGTGCTATCCCAGGCCTGCTGTGCACCTGGGGCAGTGGGATTATCTGCATGTGCCATAGCCCAGGCTGCTGCCTACACCTGGGCTCGGCAGGGCCAAGGGACCTGCCACAGTTTGAATCTGGCCCACAGGCCATATTTTGCCTACCCCTGAGTTGGCCCCATATTTTAGGGATTTGTAACTAAAACCAATTCCTAAGCCAGGGCCATCCAACTGGTGATAACATGCAGCTCCTGGGCTGCTACCCAGCTGCTGCTGCTTCTATTGCTCCGGCTGCTGCTGCAGCCAGAGGCTCTAGGCTCCTGCTTCTCCTTCAGCTTTTGTTTCTTGCTTTCCCCCCCCCCGAGGAGCAGGGGTGGTGCAGCCCCTGGCACTGGGACAGCCTGCAGCGCAGCAGCAGATGCGAGCGCTACCCATATGTGCAGTGCAAAGAGATGCATGTTTTGGGGCATGTTGTGTGTGCAGTGCGGGCGGGGGACAGGGGTGGGGGTGTTGAGAGGATGCAGCAATGCAGTCTGGAGGCCTACAGCTTGCACTGGTACAACTCTAGGGTATGTGGCCTCCTGCCACTTAGAATCTGGAAAGCTCTGTCCTAAACTAGTGACCCAGCACTGAGTGATTCTCCCTTTCCCGGGCATGGTTGCTGGCACCTACATGGCACTGCAATGGACGACACAGCTCACCTTTTTCTTGGCTGTCTTCCTGAATCGTCTCTTTCTTACATTCTTCAGTGGAAGAGTAACTGGAATAAAGGAAACAGCTCATGTATGCTAGTGGACACCAAGGGGAAAGGTCACATGCATGGCAAATTCAGTAAGTCTGAATGGACTGGGTCTTAGTGATGCAGCAGCTCTCTCAGAAATGAGATGAGGAAATGCTTCTCACCTGTCCAGAGGAGTAAGAAGGCATGGCAGATTCTGCCTGTACTACTAAGGGTGGGCAGGAGGGCCAGTATGAGCCTGGGAGTAGGCTGAGATAGGATAAAGTTGCAGCTCCTCTACTCACTGCCATGGTTCCAGATGAATTTCTTCTCTCTGTCCTTGTCCTTTTTTTTGTTTGCCTTGGGGTCAGTACTCACAGTTGGCTCTTCCAGAGGAGGGTAGAGATCACCATCCACAGTGCACACAAGCATCTAGAGTCCCCCGAAACACAAATAAGTTTACTGTAAGGTGAAATCGTAGGGTTGATGCCACGTGGTACTGGTGAATCCAAAAGGAGGGAGTGAGCAAAGAGGACAGGAGAGCTGCAAGAAGCACTGGCCATACATACCTGACAAATGTCTGCTGTCTTGTAGAATGTTTTCTTATCAATGGTTTTTAAGCTCTCAATGATGCAGGGCAGGTCTACCAATTTGGCAGCCAGAGGGACACGGTCCACACGGACGATCCCATGACGTCCATCTGCTGCAAAAAGCCAAGGGACAAACGAATGGTGTGGGCAGCCCTGCTGGATGGGCAGACTGCATGCTCTGTCCTTGGGCCACTGCTTAGAAACTCCTAAAACTTTCTTGCAAACTGGAGGTGCAACAAACTGTTGGGTTTTCTTGTTAAATTTAAGACATCCTTTGCAACAAGATGAGAAGACATGGCCTAACCTTGAAGCAGAGAAATAGCTGTGGGTTACATCCTCCAATTAGAGCTCTCTCTGCCTTTGGTTTCTCCACAGCAGATCTGGGAATTTGCTGATACAGTGATGGTGAAAAAATATATCAGTATAGCCTCCAGGATCAAAGGCCAAGACCTTGCTCCTTAGATCAGCTTTACCCATGCGATCATGCATACCCTGAACCAACACCATTTTCTCTTTAGGATCACATATATCCATGTCAGTGTCTCTGGGAAACAGTATACACGGCAGACAGGAAGTTAAGTTTCCTGGAGTGCACAGAAGCTTGTGTTGGTTAGCCGAGGCACAGTGCTGTGCTAGAGTCATACTGCTGCTGGTTCCAGATCTATCCTGTGCTACTTGCACTATGGAGCCTCGAGCTGTCTAACATGCTGTAAGATACAGCTTTGCCTTCAGGGCTCCCAAGGGGAGGTCTGAGTTTCCTGCTTAGAGACTAGACACCTTCACCAGAAGTCTGCTGGGAAGGCCATTCTACAGAGCAGCACAGCTGAGTGCTCCCTCCCTAACATTTTGCCTGTGTGATAAGCAAAACCCTGAAGGCTCTTCTTCCTTTGTACTCTGCACATTAAGTCCCCTTCTTCTGAGGCCTCCAGTACTCCTGCTCCTTCCTTAGAGGAGCTCATCTTGCATACTCACGATGTAACTCAATGGTGAGTCTGTCTTTGAGGTTGACGCTGCCAGACTGAACCGCCCTCCGCACAGTAGAGGCATATTCCTGAGAGAGATGAGTGAGACATGACAAGACCTGTGTATGCCCTCTGGGAAACATAGCTGCTGTCAAATATGCCCACCTTTAAACCAGGCTGAAACCTAATACAGAAACCCAACCAAGAGGCCACACTATAAATGGTAACAGCATTGCTCCCAGAGCACATCAAAGCCCATAAGTTAACACACTTTGAAAATGGTACACAGTCCCTTGGAAAACAGAAACCAGATGGGGTAAACCAGATCATCATTTCATGGATGAGGCAGCCAAGCAACAGACTTTCATGGAACATGAGATGCCCTTCTCAGGATCACAGCTCAAGGCAAAGTTAAAGAGCTGTACCTATAAGGATTCAGGTTACAGTCAAAGGGGATGCATCTGTGAGCTCTTTTGAGAGGCTTCCCCTGCACCCCCCAAACAAGGCATTTATTGAACAAGATTATTTGCACCAAGAGGGACTGACAGGATTGGTCAGCAGTGACCCAGCACTTATGCATGCTTTGTAGGGCATTTATTCCACAAGATCTAAGTAGCAGAGCACCAAAATACATCTTGCAGAAGCACCAGGTATAGGGGATACATGATACAGAGGATTCACTCTCCCTCTGCCCCAGTCTGCAGAATTCTCATCAGTTTCAATCTCCTGAAACTCGTTTCCCACAAACTGCACTTTCCACCCACCAAACTCCAGCAAACTGGGGCTGAGCTGGGCTCTCAGGAGCTTGGTGCCAGCCTCACATGGGACCTCTCCCACCATGGCCTCTTTAACTTAGCACACTAGCCTGTGCATCTCTTACCGGAGGCAGGCGCAGGACAAACTGGCTCTCCAGCTCATGGGGAGCATCGTCCTTGCTCTTGCTCATCTTTTGTTCTTGAGTTCAGAAAAAAGCAATGAGACTGAGGTGCACCCCGAGGGTTGCTCAGCTCCCACCTCCCTGGGGCAATGTAAGTCCCCAAGAACCCCCTGGCTGCACGGAGGCAGCGGGTAACAGACGCTGCTGGGAAGGGCGTTTCTGAGCGAAGGGCCCGTTCTTCCCAGAACCTAGTTAGCCCCCCAGGTTTGAGCAGCAGGGCCCGCGCGGGCAGCAGGAGTGGGCGGCCGGAGCTCAGAAACGAGCCCCACAGCAGCGCCTGGGGCGGGTCGGGGCTCTCAGGATCCGGGCTGGGCTCAGGCCCTTGCTCCCCCTGTCCCTGGCCCCCCCTCCCGCCACCCTCGGCGGTTCGGTTCCTAACAACAGGTCGGAATAACTACCCCACCGGAAACGGAAGCGGGCCGGGATCAGGCCGAGGGGGGCGGGCCCACATGGGGGGCTCTCAGGATCCGGGCTGGGCTCAGGCCCTTGCTCCCCCTGTCCCTGGCCCCCCCTCCCGCCACCCTCGGCGGTTCGGTTCCTAACAACAGGTCGGAATAACTACCCCACCGGAAACGGAAGCGGGCCGGGATCAGGCCGAGGGGGGCGGGCCCACATGG